AGTGTTTCCAGATCTTTCCATCACCCTTCACAGAACTGTCCCTAAGCAGTGGCTCCTCCTCTTCCCTCCCCCCGTCCCTGCCAACCTCCACTCTACTTCTTGTCTCAACAGATCTGCCTATTCTGGGCATTTCACACAGATGGGATCATACGACATGTGGCCTGCTGTGTCAGCTACTGACTTCACTTGGAGTCACTTTTCACATCCATGTTGCAGCATGTGTAAGAAGTTCGGTTCTCCTTACAGCTGACTCATACCCCACTGTATGGACATACCACACTTTGTTTACTCATGATCTGCTGATGGGATTTTAAACACTAGCAAGAAGGCTCTGAGGACTCACAGTTCTTCCTGAATCTCCAATCTCTGTGAATACTGACTAACCCACTCCCAGCCTCTCCCGCCAGGCTGCCTACTGGTTAAGAAACAGTCATATGAATGAAGTCTGTAAAGTTCCAACTCTCCAAAGGTAAGATTCCACACGAATAGATCCAGGATCTGCTGGGGGCCCAGGGGTGGCCTCTCACATCTATTTGGGTCAGATGGGTCTCACAGGGTTACTTTACCACAACCTAACTCTGGGCTGGGAGAAAGGCTGACTTTCGGGTCCCTCCCTACTACGAACCATCGCAGGAGGGAGAACTCGGAGCAGGTGGTGTGAGCCACGCACCTGGAGGAAATGGGGGGGGGGGGACCCAGATCATTCTCACTGAGGTGGGGGCGGCCTTTGCCGTGCATGGCTCAGTATCACCCCGCCCCCCAACACACATGCCCCTAGGAAGTACCTGGTGGTGGCCTTGTCAAACGGGTACTTTTCACAGAAGACCTGTGAGGGGGCGGCTGCCCTCAATCTTTCCCACAGTTTGCCTGGAAAGGCCCTTGTCATGGGGCTCTCAAAACAAGAGGAGAAAGAAAGAGAGGCTTGGAGAATAGCACTATCTGCTTTTCCTCAGCCAGCCAGCAGCATTTCAGCTTGGTTTCTAGATTATTCTTCAGCTATAAAGTGACTTGCTGGTGTCCTGGCTGGTGGTTTGAACCTCCCAATGTCTCCACAGAAGAAGACTGAGTGATCTGCTTCTGCTATGGGACTGTTTTACTATGTCCTATAAGGTTGCTGTGCGTTGGCATCAACTTGATGGCAACTGGTTTCTATTCACTCCTTACTGACTCTTTTCCATAAAGTACCATGATACCTGGCTCAGCAAACATCCTAAGGATGTGACATACTAATAACAAGTCTTGTAAATGATGTTTGATAAGTCTTTATGGGAGCAGTGGTGGTTCAGTGGTAGAATTCCCACCTTCCATGTGGGAGACCCGGGTTTGACTCCCAGCCAACGCACTTCATGTGCAGCCACCACCTGGCTATCACTGGAGGCTTGTGTGTTGTTGTGGTACAGGCATCAGTGGAGCTTCTAGACTAAGACAGACTAGGAAGAAAAGCCTGGCTACCATCGACTTCCAAAAATCAGCCAATGAAAAACCTACGGATCACAACGGCCTAATCTGCAACTGATCAGGTGATGGTGCAGGTCGGGGGGGTTTGTTCTTATGCATGAGGTCACCATGAGTCAGGGTCAAGTAGCAGCAGCTAAGAACCACCATAGCAATGACACGAATCACTTGCATTTGTGCAGCTCACTGCCAGGCCCCTGCTGAAACAAACATGCAACACATGGTGGCATGTTTTACTTAAGAAGAGTTTATGCCATGCTTTTATATATTTTTTATATATGACCCATTTAGAAAAACAGATAAATCTGTTACTCTTTTTTCCCCCTTTTCCAGAAGAAACCAAAGCCTGTAGACATTCCGTGATCACTGTACACCCTGCAGGAGTGGGGTGCAGGTGCTCCCAGAGTGAGCTCCATTCCAGCCCACATGCTGGCTGCCACAGTCATTGCCACTGAATGGCCCTGTGCCTCTCTGTTCAAAGCAAAGGCTGAGAATCAAAAGGTCACATAAGGAAAAGGGGCTTATTACAAGTGCTCTTTGAAATTTAGCAAACGATATGTCTTTTCCTAAAGTGCCAAGCTTAAACTTAACATGTTCTGCATGTTGCAGAAAACAAAATTCAGCTTTCCTTAGGGCAGGGAAAGAAAGGGGCCAGTGTTCTTGTCTCCAGTAAGCTTGCCATACAATCCGTGGCAGAGCCTGAACAGTCCTCTGACATCTCTAAGACCTCTTCTTCCTTATAAGAACTGCCTGAGCTTCGACACGCGGGGCAGGAAGGAACGGAGAAGAGGACTCATACTGCCCTCTCTCGTGCATTCTGTCATTTACAGAGATCCCTGGTGGTGCTATGAGTTGGAACAGATTGGACAGGAGCAGGTGTTTTGTTTTTGGTGGTACAGATGGGTAAGTGCTTGGCTGTAACTGACAGCTGGAGGTTTGAACCCACTCAATGGCTCCATGGGAAAAAAGACCTGGTGATCTGCTTCCACAAAGATGACAGCCTTGGAAACCCTAAGGGGAAGTTCTATTCCATCCCACAGACATTCTGAGTCAGAATCAACTTCATAGCACCCAACAAGGACAACACAGGGTTAAGCCTGGGCCCTCCTCACACACCATACTGTCAAACGTATGTAGCACCAGAAAAGTCTGAAGCAGCCCTAGCTGTGAAAGATTTCTCCCAGGCTGTCCCTATGCACACTAGGACAGCTGGTGTCTCCTTTCCTGGATGGTAACCACCTTCTTTCTGAGTCCCTTCCTTTCCTGCCATAAATTCAGACGCCTACTGCTCCTCTCCAAATCCTCTCTGCTCTAATAAATGTTCTTTTATTTTTTTTGGTCTCAGTGTCCTGGTTCTGAATTTCCACCTTTGTCTCAAGAACTCCAGTGTTTCTGAAGCAAGAAGCTCAGGCAATTTCTCTGTGAAAGTTAACTGTCATTCCTGATGCTCAGTATGAACAAAGTTTGCTTTGTCCCCAGAGTGTGACCAGCCCCATCAGACAAAGGAGGAGTTAAGGAACCTGCCTTTCATGTTGTGTTACTACAAAGGGCACAGTCACTTCCAAAGAGTACCTGTCATTCATTCATTCATTCAATACTAACAAATAAAAGACATCACAGCAGCTACAACATATGTAAGATGTGTTCATTGTCCCTAAGGAGTTTACAACCCAGATAAATATCTAGAAAAAAGGCCGTATGACAGAAGGACAGTATGAACCATGCTGACTGGTGGTGCAAATGGCTAACACACTCAGCTGCTGACTGCAGGGTTGGTGATTCAAGTCCACCCGGGGTACCCCGGAAGAAAGGCCTGGTGATTTCTCCTGAAAAATCAGCCACCGAAAGCCCCACAGAGCACAGTTCTACTCTGACACACTGTTATACAGTAATAATTGTATGGGGGGAGTATTTATAATTCAGTCATTCTTGTCCATTTCCAATGGAGAGTGATTATTAATGAAAGTGAAAGCTCAATGAACAACGCACTTCAGTCTCTATACAGTTCAAACTAATCAGTTCCTTGACAGACATCGTAGTAACAGAAGCCTTTCCTTTTTCTTTACTATGTATGGTACAACATACTTTAAGGGGCCCAGATGGCATGGTGAGTACATGCTCAGCTGTTAACCGAAAGGGTGGCAGTTTGAACCCTCCCAGCAACTCTGTGGGAGAAGACCCGATGACCTGCTTCCACAAAGATGACAGCCTAGGAAACGCTATGAGGCAGTTCCACTCTGTCACAGGCGATCACTATCGAGTTGGAACTGACAGCACCCAACAACAACAAAACATACTTGCCCAAGTTTTTAAGACTTTATTGCTCTGATTTTGGCAATCAAAGCGTGGTTCAGATGTTCATCTCTCTAAACACTGGCTTTACAAAGTCTCAAGTTCTATACAGAATCAAGTTATTGAGAAAACAAACGTTATTCCATTTATTACAGGGTAAAGTCTAGAAGATCAGTCTCTTCCCAGTCACTTGCTAGTCTTGATTTCCACTCACTGCCTGGGTTGTGTACACTTCTCGCTTAGGTCAAAAGCGGCTGCTTAGACATCACCCACAAAACAATGGGAAGCCATAGAAGACCTGCCTATCTCCCAGTGTAAATGTGGGGGACAAGGTTAAAATCAAAGTAGAGGAATTGTGTATTTCAAAGTGTTTTGGTTCATTACAGGACCCCTGGTGGCACAGTGGTTGAAGTGCTCAGCTGCTGAGAGGTCAGTGGTTAAACCCACCTACTGCTCCAAAGGAGAAAGACGAGGGAGGCAGTCTACTTTCATAAAGATTTACAATCTTGGGAACCCTATTGGTAGTTCTACTCTGTCCTCTAGGGTCACTGTGAGTTGGAACTGACTCTACGGCAGTGGCTTTGGTTTGGGGTTGGTTCATAACACTTTTTTTTTTTAAACCCATTGCATTTGAGTTACCTGCATTGCTACTGTATAAATCCTGGGGCCTACTGGATTCAGAGAGGTTTTATTATGCCATTGTATTAAAACTACTTGCCATGGAGTCAGTTCCAACTCTGGGTGCCCCTGTGTGGGTCAGAGTGGCACTGTGCTCCATAGTGCTTTCAATGGCTGACTTTTCTGAAGCACACTGCCAGGTCTTGCTCTCGACGTGCCTCTGGGTGGACTTGAACATCTAACTGTTCAGTTAGCAGCTGAGCACATGAACTGTTTATTACTTTCCATTTTAAAATAATCTTTGAGAAACGAGTATTTAATAGAAACCCACTTGACAAGGAAATCAGACTTAAGCTACTGTATCAGAATTACCCTCCGAACATGTGTTTAGCTTCTCATGGGGGTGTTATCTGACTGTTGTCACTCTGGGTCTCCAGAAAGGAAAAAGTGGCATTAAGAAACAAGCAAAGCAAACTCCCCCAGTCCCTAGAACTTTCAATGGCGCTTATGCAAGTCTCTTACAGCAGGAGCTTTCCAGGTGCTGCTCCCTGCTCAGCCCCTAGAGGGCGCTATGGCCCAGGATGCGAGTCTCCTCCCTCCCCACCCCAAACCAGCCTGGGGGCCCAGAACCCTACCACTGGCTTTCGTTTCCGGGTAGGCAGGGCCTTCTTCAAAGGAGAAGATCGGGGAGACGCTCTGGCCCAGGTAGGAGGGCGGTGGGTAGTAGGAATGCATCCGGTACTGGGAACCCATGGTAGTGTGGCGGCTCTCTGCACCCTTCATCTGCTGGGGAAGAAAGAATGAGCGTGTGAGGCTGACATCGCACTGCCCAGTAAGACAACAGGGCTTGATTCATCACATGGAATAAATTCAAGGACGGTGAAAGTCTCTTCAGGCTCACCTGCCAGTTTCTCAGCCCTAGAAATGCAAGAATTGAACATTTGGAAGGCACTTTTTCCATCTCAGGGTTCCCCCTATAGCACCCCGAAAAACCCCTCCAACTGTATGATGCTTGATTTAACAAGCACTAAGAGAACAGACGGAGATTAGAGACTACCTCAACATGAAGAAAACAAAAATCCTCACAACTGGATTAATAAGCAACATCATGATAAACAGAGAAAAGACTCAAGTGTCAAGAATTTCATTTTACTTGGATCCACAATCAATGCCCATGGAAGCAGCAATCAAGATATCAAATGACGTATCGCACAGGGAAAATCTGCTGAAAAAGACCTCTTTAAAACAGTAAAAAGCAAAGATGTCACTTTGAGGACTAAACTAAGGTATACCTGACCCAAGCTATGGTATTTCACTTACCTCATATGCATGGGAAAGCTAGAAAATTAAGAAGACCAGATAAGAACTGATGTATTTGAATTGTGTTGGCAAAGAGTACTGAAAGCACCATGGACTGCCAGAAGAACAAACACATCTCTTTGTAGAAGAAAAGCCAGAATGCTCCCCAGAAGCAGGACTGGCTAGACTTTGACTCTCATACTTTGGTCACGTTATCAAGAGGGACAGTTCCTGGAGAAGGGTATCATGCTTGGTAAAGCAGAAGGTCAACGAAAAAAGGAAGACCCTCCACGAGACGGATTGACATAGTGGCTGCGATTGTGGGCTCAACATGGCAGTGATTGTGAGGATGGTGCAGGACCATGTTTTGTTCTGCTGTACGTAGGGTCACTATGAACTGGAAATGACTTGATGGCACCTAACAAAAGCAACAAGAGAACAGGGGTGCAGTGAGGGGGGAACCACACCAACCACTGTGGCACTCCCCGGAGTGTCTGACAAGACACAAGTTACTGACCTCTTCACAGCTGACTCCACCCTGTCAGTTTTCTGACAGCGGTGCTGTTAGGAGAGTATCAGGGCATGACTGCAAACTAGCAGCACGCAAACACACATGCATGTGAACTGCTGTGGTATGTGGGACAGGTGCTGGGTGCTGTCACTCAGCATCCATACTACCCCATCCTCTGCTTGTGCCTGGAGCAAGGGACAGAAGCCTGGGATCTCTGCTTCCCAGACTCTCTTTTCACCAGATGTCTGGAGACCATTTGGATTCTGTCAATATGTATCTACCACCCATCGGCCAATGTGTCACAATATGGTGGCATACATGGAACTGTGCTGCTGGAAGCTATGCCACCAGTATTTCAAACACCAGCAGGGTCATTCGTGGGGGACAAGATTCAGAGGAGCTTCCAGACTAAGACTAGGAAGAAAGGCCTGGTGATTTACTTCTGAAAATCAGCCAATGACAGCCCTAGGGATAACAGAATACTATCTGAGATTTCAACTTGCTTACTTTGTATGTGTTACCAGGAGAGACCAATAGCTGGAGAAGGACATCATGTTTGGTGCAATGGCGGGCCAGCAAAAGCAAGGGAAACTCCCCTACGAGATGGACTGACACAGTGCCCAAAACAGTGGCCTCAAACAGCCAGAATTGTGACAATGATGCAGGACCAGGCAATGTTTCATGTTGTACACGGGGTAGCCTATGAGTTGAAGCCAACTTGATCGCAACGGACAATAAAATAAAGTACATGAAGGGGGCTTAACTGCTGAGCACTGGGGATATTTGTAATTGTAAAAACTGTAAAACTGTAATTTTCCCAGGAATATGTTGGTTGACTCTAGGACTAATGTAACTTCAGAGGAAGAAAACAAGCCTGCATTGAAAGCACACTGTAGGCACCTTACGTGTTATCTTGTCGAATCCTTGTAATGGAAGAATCCTTAACACAGAAACTGCTCAGGCACATTCAACAACGTGATTCTGCTCACAAAGAGATCAAGAGGAGAAGGCAGGGCTCAAGGCAAGTCCTTCTGGGAAGCCCGAGACAGTTCCATCTCCTGACCCAAGGCTCCTTCCTAATTTTAAATTAAGGTATCTGCTTATTATTCAAGACCCTTGCATGCCTTGGGCTTTAAACAATGCCTCACGTTTTTCCTGCTTCTAAGACCAAATAAGAAACTTTTTTTTTGGAGCGGGGGATGGTTTGAAAATGAGAAGCAAAGATGATTCAGGAGCTTTGAGGTTAGGACAGAAGTATGAGGCTGCTGCTCTCCGTCCTTACCTTGATGGACAAACCTAATTAACCTTTGCTACTCTGTTCCAACCTACTGTTTTAGACAAAGCTAGTGACCCATAAACAATATGTTACCATCCCAATCTCAATGGCTGTGACACAAGAGATATAGCCCCATCAGCAGTATCGGGAAATAAGGTGCTTTGGATTAGCTGCTCTAAGAAATATGGATTACATTCATGTCACACATGAGCTGTCAGTAACATGAGAATACTTTTGGCATAAATCAGCAGTATGAACGCTAGCTGATGAAGACTGAGCTTGAGGGGAAAGTGGGATCGCCCGGGCCACCTTCTAAGCATAAGCACAGGTACGCACTTGCGCACCTGCCGGGAACCGGTGATAACAATGCCAGCACAGGCTGGTGACCACTGACAGACACACCCAACTCGCAAGGGTGGGGAGCTTGCTGTCGTTGGTAGGTGCCTTAGAGTAGATTTCAACTTACAGCAGCCCCATATGACAGAACAGAAATACCCACAGGGTTTTCTAGGTTATCATCTTCATGGGAGCAGATTGCTATAGCTTTTCTACCATGGAGCCACTGGTGGGTTGGAACTGCCAACCTGTCAATTAGCAGTGGAGTGCTTAACCACTGTGCCACCAGGGCTCCTTGCAGAAGGTTAGTGGTGTGAACTGGCCCTTGCACTCTAAGGCCATGACAGAGAGTCTAACTTCATGACAGAAGATCCAACTCCAAGTAACCAAAGCAACATAAGAACGATGACAAACCAAACCAACTGCCATTGACTGATTCTAACTCATGTGCCCATGTGTGTCAGAGGGGAACTACTCCACAGGGTTTCAACTGGCTGATTTTTAGGAAGAAGACTGCCAAGACTTTCTTTCAAGGCTCCTCTCAGTGGAGTAGGAGCTCTGGTGGTGCAGTGGTCAAAGCATTCAGCTGCTAACCTAAAGGTGAGTGGTTTGAACCCAAAAGCCACTTCTTAGAAGAAAGATGAGGCAGTCTGCTTCTGTAAAGATTTACAGCCTTGGAAACCCTATGGGGCAGTTCTACTCTGTCCTATTGGGTTGCTATGTGTCAAAATGGACTCAATCGCAGCGGGTTTGTTTTTGGTTTTCTGGGTGGGCTTGAACCTCCAAGCTTTTATTTAGCAGCCAATGTATGAACTATTTGCACCCCCCCCCAAGGACTCCTAACCAAAAACCAATTTCCCTAAAGCACATCTGTGTGTGTATGGGTGTGTGTATGGGTGTGTGTGTGGGTATCTGTGCATGGATGGATCAGGGAAGGCACACAGCAGAACCGGTATTTAGTGATTTTCCAGGATTTCAAGGCTTTATACAAAGAAAACTAAGACATCTGGTTATATGACAGGAACTACGGTGCCTCTGTGGTCAGACCCACTGGGGCTCATGCTCCCCTGTAACAGCTATGTTAACCCTAGCAAGTTAACCTGCCTGAGCTGCAGTTTTTCCACTCACAAGGGGTAACAATCCCTGACAGGGTTGTGTTGAAGAACTCAATGGAACAGCAGCTGTCACTTGATACATCATGGTTGTTCAACAACTGCCCTGCTTACCACATCTACCTTTCTCTAGTGGGTTCCCTGCTGCAGGGCAGGCAGGGTTCATACTCAAGTTGCCATTGAGTCAATTCTGACCCATGGTGCCCCCACATGTCGGGGAGAACTGTCCTCCATAGGGTTTTCAATGGCTGAATTTTCAGAAGTAGGTCACCAGGCCTTTCTTCCAAGGTACCACTTGGTGGATAAGAACACTAACCTTCTGTACCACCCAGAGACCCCAGTTATTCTCAAGGACCCCTCTTTCAAGTTTGTTATCCTTTAACCCTTAGCCCTTTTACAGGTATGCTGCGATCTAGTAACAGAGAGTAGGACAGAAAAACCTTCCCACCATATACTTTAACAAAACATTTAGCTACACCTACATGTCCATAAGACCAGAACTAGATGGGACCTGGCTACCACTCTCAACTACTCGGAAAGGGATCAGTGCAGGAGATCCTGGATAGAGTGGGAGAAAAATGTGGAACAAAACTCAAAACCATAAAAGAGACCACACTTACTGGTCTGATGGAGACTGGTGAAACTCCCAAGACTGTGATAGTTGGGGTTGTGTGTCAACTTGGCCAGACCATGATTCTGAGTAGTTGAAGCAGTTATGATGTGGTTATTCCCATGATGAGATCTGATGTATATGCTTTGAGGAGCCAATCAGTTGAAACGGAGTTTACTTAGGGGTGTGGTCTGCTTCTAATATATAAATAGACATCCTGGGAAAATTCAGGAACCTTCTGTTGATCTGAATCCTGTCATACTGTCTACAAGGGTGTGGTCTGCTTTTAATATATAAATGGACATCCTGGGAAAATTCAGGAACCTTCTGTTGATCTGAATCCTGTCATACTGTCTACAACTGTCCTGTGAGCCTGCTAATCTTGGATTCATCATCTGCCAAAGTCAGTAGCCTATTATACTGCCTGCCAATCTTGAGCTTGTCAGCCCCTGCAGCTGTGTGAGCTGAGAGAAACCTCCAGCTTGATGTTTGATCCAGGAACTTGGGACTTGCCAGCCTCTATAACTGTGTGAGCCATCTCTCTCTCCATATATATATACATACATATATATAAGCTTTACTGGTTTTGCTTCTTTAAAGAACTGAGCCTAAGACATCTAATGACCCTTCTGGCCTGGC